CTGTGGGCTGTCAGTTCGCTGGTTCGCTGTGGGCAGTCAGTTCGCTGGTTCGCTGTGGGCTCAGTTCGCTGGTTCGCTGTGGGCAGTCAGTTCGCTGGTTCGCTGTGGCTGTCAGTTCGCTGGTTCGCTGTGGGCAGTCAGTCCGTGTGCCGCAATAGCCCCTCCCCTCCTCTTTTGTCGCTTCTCGACTCGCCTTCGACAAACGTTATCTTTTAGCATGTTTACTTCACATAAGTGAAAAGTGTATGCAACATGACGTTTCAGGGTTACATGTTTCAACGACATAACCCCTTGTACTCCCATCTCTGGAAGCGCCCCTGTGGATTTCTTTTTTCATTTCTCTCTCTTACACGTGCATGAATTTTCTTCCTTAGCCATTCTTAGCACGGTTGTGCTGGCCCAGGTAGCATACGCCCTCCGCACCCAGTTTAATCCAACTCAACACGCCTTTTTCACTGCGTATATCCATTGGTTGCGTAAATATTGACGAAAAGTACAGCGCTCTGCATTTAGATCGCGAGCAACATCCCTTCTATACCTGCGTTGATAACCCGCAATACTCTTCAAGCGGTGTAAAAATTCTCCGGTTTTTGAGCCGCAGGACCACCTTTACCACGCTACTTTTTAAGTTGCAATAACGACACCGGTGGTACAGCTGTTCCATGCACCGGAAGCAACAGTAAGTCCTGGAAACGCAAGTCCGCGCGCAGAACGTCGGCACATGGAACCGCTTACGCAGCCCACGTAGAATAAACCTTGACACTTGTGCAAAGAATGTCCAGGGAAAGCCGGGACTTTTCTGCGACCTTTTCCAATCACGTCCAAGAAATTGGCAAAAACCTGAGAGAGCTGAATCCCATTCAATTCAATAGCAGGATTAACCTGCAAAAGTGCAGCATGCTAACGTGTCCCGGCATTTGCCTGCAAACCTGGATTTAAAGGCAAAAGGCAAAATTGTCAGGCTTATAAAACTTGAGTTGACTTCGTAAGCTGTTCAGTGCATTTGCGAGGAGCATTATCCACTTACATAACACAGCAGTAATAGCCTTATTCCCCGAAGAAAAAACAGGATGGTGGAATGATTTTCGGTGCGGAATTTACCGCGTGTTGAGGGGCAGAGACTGGCATTTTGAAATTGGTCTCAAAATGGCACATATAACCAACGGTTTTCAATTTTTGGGATGGTGTGCTCTGGGTTTGAATTCTTGACTCCCATCTCTTCTAAGCCTGTTGAGCCCATTAACCTGTCCAGTTTCGCGGACCACGGGTGATGTCGAATGACAACGGATTTAGCGGATGAACCTGCCATAATGATGATACGTTGGTGACAGGTCCAGAGGCAGTTATCGCCCAACCAACCCAGCTACGCAACCTTTTGTCGACCTGTCCAGCCTATTCGCCAACTTAATCGCTGCTTGAAAGCCCCTCTGTTGTGTTGGGTGTAATCGGCGTTTATTAAATTGCAGAAAATGCGCCTTTTAATGTTCCAAGCAGTGCCACGTTAGGCTTCACATTAAGGCCCTGTGCACAGTGACGCAAGCGATGCCAGTGTCAAGTCTAACGCCGTGCCGGCATGTCGCCTCTCGCTCACCTGTTGGGCATGAAGTAGCCAGCGTCCAGTATGATGGGCGGAAGCATGAAGAGGAAGAAGGTGTCGGGGTCCAGGTGGTGGGCCGCCTCGACGTCCCCCAGGCCTCCGAAGTACAGGATGACGCCCACGATGATGCCGATGACGATCAGCAGGCACGACTCGGGAAACATGTGCGACAGCTTCGGAAACATGTGGAACCCTGCCAGTCGGACAAAACGGAGGCTCTCAACGCTGCTGGCTAGCGAGGCACGTGCAGCAGGCTTACGCCAGTGCTGAGCCCTGCCGGAACAAAGCAGCTCAGTGCTGCCATGTGTCTGTGAGCTCGTCAGCTGCTTCGACCGACGGACCTGTTTTGGGCGGCTCATTAAAATTATTGTTTAGAAATACAAAAGCTGTCAGGACAGGTACAAGTGCTGTTCGAAACTAACAGACAATATTGCCTGTTCTAGAAAGGCCTGTCTGAGTTTTGCTTTGCGTAGATAATGCGTGAGAGTAATTCAAAAGTTCGTCGCTTCTCTAAAGACTGCGTGTTGTTCCTCGTCTGGTTCGACTGTAGCCCTTTCGTCGGGCGTATTAACAGACAACGTAGTGAAACTCACGGGTCGAGAACAACCAGACGGGCGTAATGAAACAAACGCGAGATATCAATCACAACTATTGGTGTTTAAAGACATCTTCAGCACCTATTTCAGCTCGTGTCGGCAGTGCTCACGCTGATAGTCGCCGGGATCGAAAACATTTGGCCGGGCGCCAGGCTCGAACCCTACACTTTTCCGACTTTGGCCGCGGGTGGGAGCTATTCCAAATGAGCCCCGCCATCTCCAGATGCAAGCAGGCCAGCATTATGCCACGAAGACAATAAACAAAGCTCATGCGTTAACTCGCATTCATCGTGTGATTCGACTTGCGTTCACATTTATGGAATTGTGTCACTTTCTCTGACCATGCCCACTTCATCCTTATCCATTCCTATCAGCGATTTGAGCTTGGCGCCTTCCACTGGCGAGCTCCTGTTTGAGCTTGGCGCCTTCCACTGGCGAGCTCCTGTTTGCATGCCCCAGCCCTGCCGTACTCAGGACCTCACTACTTTTATGTCCTGCACAGCCTGCACTTATAGCCTCCCCTACCGTCACCTCCCCACATCTATTTACATATCCAAGTCACCGCCACGGAGGCATCAACAACAGCGGTACAACAACAACAGATGCATCAACAACAGCGGTACAACAACGACAGATGCATCAACAACAAGGGCAATGTGTAACCCAACGGGAAGTTGTAATGCGCAAAACCACCGAAATGTTTGAACCCACCGGGAAGTCATAATGATTGAAATCACCGAAATGTGTGAACCCACCGGGAAGCAATCTACAGCATAACTGCAGATTCGGGAGCAAGCAGAACCATGCCTGGGACAGGACAGCAGTCAGTGATGCAGACTGAGCTGCTGAGAGGTCTTCTCCTCAGATGGGGAGCGTGTGCGACAGCTTTGATGCTCTCGAATAAGTGGGATCCTGCTGGGAAAAACCAGGATGGCCACTTGACTCAAAGGTTTTCCCGCCTATCGGTGCAGAGTGTATGAGTGTGAGTAAGTGCATGAGCATCTCCCTTCTCATTACCATATGACTTGTCAGCACCTTAGTCATGATTTGCGATTACGGAAGTCCGTAAGCTTGCATGCAGTTGTGGGCCAAGATAACTGAGCTAACTGGCTGGCTGCCGATTTCAACGCTCGGTCGCGTGCTAAACGTCGGCGGCCCGAAGTATGTTCAGCGTTCGTGTCTCTCGGTCCTAACGCATTTAGTAGCAGTGCAACCATTAGTCCCCTTCCGACACAACTGGTGTTGGAGCTGGAAACGCTTCTGGTTCCATTAATACGCCACCATTAGCAACGCATTAGCGCAAAGTGGTCCACGTTACGGAAGACAGCGGGGTGCTTAAAACGAGAACTCCGCTTGCCCGGCTGCAGAGTGGAGAAATTAGACCCCAATGGACGGTGCAGCGAGCACCTTGAAGGAGCATCGGCTCTGAACTGGGCGATGCAGGGACTTTCTGCGGTCTGTGACCTTCCATCCGGGATTTCATCGGTGACTCACGCGGCCGCGCTTAGTAACCCGCCTCGATCACCGCTGGGGCCCTGCAGCCCCCCGCTGCGCTCTGCCCCGGCTGCGCACACTTGTTTGCAGGCTCCGGGCTGAGATACTGGCCTCCTCTGAAGTGGGGCGAGGTCGGGTCGGACCCGGCCCTCCTGGCTGACAGCCGTGCCCGCTGGTCCGCGCCCACCCGGCCGCCGCAAGCGCTCCTCGATAGCGCTCAGTCGGGCGCGTCGAGTCCCAGCTGCCCGTCTGTGCCCTCGCAGCTCCGGCTTCCCGAACGACAGCTGAGAGTCATGCAGGAGCGTTGGTTGACAGCTGGCCCGTAGACTGCTTTTCGACTTCACTAGGTCACACGATTTGGGCAGTCCAAATAGGTCTTGTTCTGGGGCGTCAATTCATACATCTGCACAGACACCAAAAACGCGACATCCTGTCGGCCGCAGCCTCGCCCACTGGGCTTTGAAACTCCCGCTCTCGAACCCCAAAGAACTACACCATCTGAGCCTCAAGGTCCTGTGGCGCGACCAAAAAGTTCCCTACAACGTGGGCCAGAACTCGCCCAAACACACACAAAGCCATTGTTCACGCTACAGATCCGGCCTCCGACCGCCGATTGATCTACGGCCGACGCAGACAGACGTGCGTCATACCTGCTGAGGCCGAGGGTGTTTTCCTGTGGGAGCAGGGCGTGACCCCAGACACTTCCGGGAGCTGTTCCCGGCCGCGTGTTCCAGCAGGCCGGCTCGCGTGCAGTGCGCGGCTTGCGGTGTGACAAATCATTACCGACCACAGGATATGACAGTCGGTTGCCGTGAGCAGTGCAGAAGTAATAGCTGTTCGCGTGGCCAAAATAGGCGTCTGGGTGCACGTTTAAAGGACAACGGGTATCCATACAACCGTGCAAGATTGGCATGAGTTTCGTTGGGATGTCTGGAAGTACGTGTGGGGTGGTAATGACTGAAACAGCACACCCAGCCTTTTGGAACGCAGTCGGATTGGTGTTGAGTAGCTGATTAGTTTCTCAGGAAACCGCTGGCACCGCATGATGTCAGTTATTTTGTGCACCTTGGTGCGACGACGGCGTCCCTTATAAAGGTAGGTGTGGGGGGGGGGGGGCAGGCCAAAAAGCCGCCGGAACGGTGGTGTCAAGGTCACGAGATAGCAGCACATACGTAAGGACTATTGTGGGTAAGGGCGGGGGTTCTCTGGTTTGCGATTCAGGGCTGAGATAGTGTTGCAAAGCTTTCACCACTGCTGAGCTAACTGAACAGATGTCTGTTCCGGGAGGAATATTCAGGTCAGTCGCAAACATGCAAGTTCGCCCGGGATCGTCTTAGAGCATAATGACGTGAAGCTCCAAACGCCTCTGGGCTTAAAACCATGCCAGTTTAAGGTGGCTTACGATATTTTGACAGAATGGGCCTGGTTCGGATGTGACGCTGATCTCGTATCTCAAAAAATCTTAAGTGTGTTCTCCGCCGGTCAGGTTGTCAAGGCTCAAAGTGACACCAAAGCATGATAACTTTTCACGAGAAATCATGCAATTAACACTTCAGCACATAATCTAGTTAAAAGTAATGGTGAGCTTAGACGTGCACCAAAAAGCAGTAAATGCGAATGACACATCTGAGTTTTTATTGTCTTGGCATTTGAAAATGTCTGAATACAAAAGAAATATGGCTTGCGGGGCAGAACTCAAACAGGTTTTCCAGTTCGGAACCGTAAACCACAGCAGCGCTTGGCTCAGCAGGTTGCAGATTGAAAAGAATGAGGCATGGAAGACTGAGCATGCCGACTATGCATCTGTCACAGCACGGCTTCGCAATTCCCGTTTCGTACACAGCTGGCCCAACGAGAGGCGTTGCACATATTTTTTGGTCATGGAGGGGCTTTTGCAAAGCATCACAATCATGCTTGAGACGAGCTCGCGTCCTACCGCCACACATGTACCCCAGGTGCGCGCGTCGCCGGCACGTCACCGCCCAACGCTCGATCTCGACTTAGTGGTCGCCCGCCGCACTTGTTAACTGCACGCACAAACGCCACATGCCCGTTTGAAATAAACAGAGTAGACAGTTTTCGACCAAGGTTCTCGCGTTTTTGAGCGACAAGGCCCTCCACTTCATGCTCATTCGGACTTGATAGCGATGCTACGAAGTAAAGTTTTTTGTTTTACAGTTGGTCTTAGTGAAGTCCAAAAGTGCTCCATTTAAAATGAATATCTCTCAGAATTAACAACGCAGATGAGCTACAATCAGATAAAATCTGCATTCATGCAAATTGCTTGCGTACAAAATCAAGTTTCTGAAATAGAGCAGCGTAGCAAGGCCCAGACATCCAACCTTTCCCAACTACCCCGAACTCATCTTCCATCCAACTTTACCTGGGTAAGCGCACTCGCCCGACGCCACCCATACATATTCATCCATGTGGGTACGTCAAAAGCGCCGCGAGCGCCAAAATCCTGCAGAGGCAAGGTCAGCGTACGCAACCGACCAGCGATGTCTCACGCGGCGTACCGCCGGACACACGTGCTCGCATGACCGAAGAGGCCAAGTGGCGTGCCATCATGTAAATTGAACGGGAAGGAGGGTATTTGGAGCACGCGCTCTCGTGAGCACGTGACTTGAGTGATGGTTCCATGATTGTATGCGAATAAATCTGCATACACAACGCCGTGGAATGAAACAGATTTCCCAATATGATTGATAGCGGAAGGAGCTGTGAGACAAATGTCGTACATTTGTTTCGGCATCCAGCATCTCAAACTGCAAACCTGATTGTCTGCTGTTATGCTGAAAGCGTAAAACGATGCTGAGACCGAGACCTAGAGAGAGACAGGGAGACAGGAAGAGAGAAAGAGACAGGGAGACAGACAGAGACAGAGACAGAGACAGAGACAGAGACAGAGACAGAGACAGAGACAGAGACAGAGACAGAGACAGAGACAGAGACAGAGACAGAGACAGAGACAGAGACAGAGAAAGAGACAGAGACATAGACAGAGACAGAGACAGAGACAGCAGAGACAGAGACAGAGACAGAGACAGAGGACAGAGACAGAGACACGAGACCGAGACAGAGACGAGACATAGACAAGAAC